GTGCCCTTGGTGATTGGAGCACTGGGGTCAGTAACCCCTACACTGGAAAAATGGCTCCAACAGATACCTGGAGAATCATCAGAGATCTCATTCCAGAAATGCACAGTTCTAGGGACAACTAAGATACTGCAAAGAACCCTCAAGCTCCCAGGCTATTGGTAGAAGACCTGAGTTTGAGATGGAGGAACCACCCACCCTGCCCTGGAGTAGATGGGTGGATGAGTTTATATATAAACTACTTAAACTACTATCTCTCTTTATATATACATATACATATATATATATATATATATATAGATAGATAGATAGATAGATAGATAGATAGATAGATAGACTCTGAGTCTAAAAAAGATCAGTGATGTGAATAAAGAATATATATTCAACTGCTTCCTTTAGGGGCAACTAATCTTAATTGATTATTTGATCAAATCTACACAAGGGGGCGCTGGAGCTTATTTATCAAATCATTGTGTCAGTGGTAAGATCAGTACATTTACCTTCCTTTAAGTTGGTTGTTTGAAGGTATTTAACATCTACACAAGAAAGACTTGATTTACTTCAAATATTATTCAAATGAACTCCAAGTGGTTCACTGAAATCAGACAAAAGTATTCTATTACAACAAATGTGTACAACACAAGAAAAAACGTAAACCTAGCTAATGACAATAGTTGTAATTCCTATAGATATTGCACAATATATTTTGTGCTAAACTACCCGTCACAAAATTTTAGGTCCTTAAATAAATATTGTGCTGTAAAGAAATTAAATGTAAAGTTTATCAGGGAGCATCTTAGAGTAGTCGCAGAACAAAAGCTATCCTCTTCCTGGAAGGCAGTATAACATCTAGAACTCCACCAGATATGCACGGGCCTGCATGAGGCGCTTCATGCGACTCTGCAAATTGGTCCTCTTGCTGCCGATGTCATAGTCCTCCTTCAGCAAGAAGTCCACATTTTCCTTGTCCTGAAGCATCTGTAGCATTTCCCTCTGCAGCTGCCTGGCAGACTCCTGCAGCATCTCATAGCGGATCACCAGCGGGATCTGGTCTGCCAGACGGATTCCCGCTATCTGTCACGGAAACAGGCAGAAAAGGTTTGGATGCTTCTCAGAAAAAAGAAGTCAACCCTTATGCGACCTGTAGGAATGCCCCTATCTCGGTTGAATAAGTCAAATATAGATTGATGACTTGGAATCAGTTTTTCAGTTCAGTTCAAAAATACTTTATAGATCCCAAAGGGAAATTAAATGTGGCAATCCAAAATCTTAAATACTAATCTATTAATTATTTGACTAAGTTAAATAAAGAGAAACAATAACGGAAAAGCTAAAGCTAATTTCATTCCAGAGAACGAAATTTAGGCAGAAAGGGCAAGTTTATTGCTGTGGGATTAAAGGGATGAATCCCTTAGGATTGAAGGTGCAGTATACTAAACGGATTAAAAAGATCCTACATTTACCAAAAGTTTAAGGAAAAAGTTTTTGGACTAATCTAGATTTTTAGTACCTAACGTAAATCTGAGGGAGGAAAAACAGAACAAGAGAGAAGAAATTTGCATCGGGCCACTCCTTTTGTTTGCTTTCCACTGGCCTGTTTCACAAATAAGCTGTTTGGGAAATCTAGCCTCAAACACCTACAGTTTCAGCTAGAGCGTCTCTTGGAGAGGAAAGTGAACGGTTCTGGCCCAGGCTGTTTAATGTCTTTGTTTGTTCTGCACTTTCAATTATGAACCAGGTTTGATATGATAAAGATATCTTGGGAAAGATCTTCAGGTGTTCTGAACAATTGTCAGAGGTGTTTAGGAAAAAAACAAAAACTTGCGGCAGCTTATCACAAAGTTATACCAATGAGGAAAAGTATATGATGCAAACAAACATATTTAGGAACTGACTTTGACTGGAAGATCAGGCTTTGTTCCAGTTAGGCTAAGCTTCTCTGAGGACCTACTGCTTTTTTCCCTGACTACAGATCACAGAAGACTCATCTCAAGGGGATTGTTCACCTGGTCACGGGTGAATTTGGGAAAAACCCAAGAGCAATGTAAGCTAAGAAAAATGGAATCTACTTTGTTATTTCGAAATCACATTTTTTTTTAGACTTTAACGCCATAAAAATAAAATCTCCTGACTGGAGCTGCTTTCAAATTCAAGAGGTGAAATCTGTAAACATACTGATTAATACCATGATGTGATTAAAAAAGAAAGGTCAGGCAAAAGGTCAAATCTGAAGTGCTGGCATGGATTATGCCGCTAAATCAAAACTTACCTTATAATATGATTTAAGATGCACCATCAGCTCCTGAAGCGTTGCATGATTATCCATGCAGTACACAACGCTCCTTCCTGAATTGAAGTCTTCATCATTCTCTTCTTCCTCCCTCTTGATTTCACTCAAACTGTTGCTGTAGGTCTTATCCTGGGAGTAAACGAGCAGCTCCATCTTGAACTGGGTCCTCAGCATCAGCTCAGCAGAAGTTTCCTTTTGTTGCTTAATGGCCTCAATCTTTGCCTGAAGAAATTCACATCTCCATTTGTATTGAACCAAAGTCTTGATATATATTATGGTTAGACAGCACGTAATGTGAGGTGTATCTGAAGCTGAGCTAAACTCCTACCTTGGTTGTTTTCAAAAGGTTAGGAAACCCTGCAAAGCTTTCAGCAGCCAATTGGATGAAGGCTTTCTTAATAGCATCTAGAGGAAACAAAGCAAAGGCTGCTTTTAGTTATATTCCTGTGATCTTGTTTGGAAACCAACCTTGAGCAATAAAGTAAAAGAATATGTAACTAAAGAAATCCCTTCCCTGGGCATACACCTTATCGTGGTGGAGGAGTTTGAGTGTCCCAATGACCCAAAGAGCTATGCTGTCAATGCTCCTAGTAGTGTCACCGAAGGCAGACAGGTCCTATGTGAGGGACCACACAAAGAGAAGCCCTAAGACCCTTTATGATGAGCAAGACAAATGAACATTGTGTTCCCTCGCACGGATGTGGGTCGCCAGGGCCCCACTCAGGAGCCTTGCCTGGAGGTGGGCCATGCTGGCGAGTGCCTGGTGAGCAGGCTTTTACCCATGGAGCCCGGCTGGGCACAGCCCGAGGGAGGAAATGTGGGTTCCCCTGCTAATGGGCTCACCACCTGTAGGAGGCGCCAAAGGGGTCGGGTGCATTGTGTGATGGGTGGCAGTCCAGGGCGGGGACCTTGGCTTTCTGAAGAAGCTGGCTCTTCGGATGTGGAATGTCACCTCTCTGGTAGGGAAGGAGACTGAGCTAGTTCGCTTAGGTTGAGAGGTTCCAGCTAGACTTACCTGGCTATCTCTTAATGGCCCACCTGACCTGAACTTGAGTGGGTTCTGTTGTCTGACTTCTGTGCTCATAATGGATTGTGCATAACGAACACCATATCCAAGCATAAGGTGCATATATGCTTGGCACCAGGACACCCTAAACGGCAGTTCAAGGATTGACTTTGTTGTTGTTTCATCTGATCTGTGGCTGCATGTCTTGGACACTTGGGTGAAGAGAGGTGCTGACCTCTTCACCGACCACTACCTGGTGATGAGGAAACTCCAATGATGGTGGAGGATGCCGGTCTGACCTAGTAGGCCCAAACGTATTGTGAGGGTTTGTTGGGAACGTCTGTAAGAGACCACGTGAGATGGAGCTTTAACTCCCACCTCTGGGTGAGATTTGAACATGTTCCGAAGGAGGTGGGGGACATTGAGTCTGAGTGGACCATGTTCCGGGCCTCTATTGTTAAGGCGGTGAGCCGGACCTGTGGCCGCAAGGTTGTCGGTTCATGTCACGGAGGTTACCCCCCAACACGCTGGTGGACACAAGCGGTGAGGGAAACTCTCAAGCTGAAGAAGTCCTATCGGGTTTAATTGGCCTGTGGGACTCCGGAAACAGCTGATGTGTACTGGCAGTCAAAGCGGCAGGTGGCTTGGCTGGTCGCTGAAGCAAAAACTTTGGGCATGGGAGGAGCTCGAAGAGGCCATGGAGAAAGACTTCCTTTCGGCTTCAAACCGATTCTGGACTGGCGAACTGGGTTCGGGATCCCCCTATTTAAAAAGGAACTACAGAGGAATCACACTCTTAAGTTTTCTGTGCAGTTATCTTGAGTTTCCTCCGTAGTGTGTCTGGGCTCTCCCTTAGAGATAGGGTGAGGGGCTCAGTCATCCGGGGAGGACTCAGTGTAAAGCTGCTGCTCCTCCACATCCAGAGGAGCCAGTTTAGGGGGCTCAGGCATCTAGGTAGGATGCCTCCTGGACGCCTCCCTGGTGAGGTGTTCCAGGCACGTCCCATCGGGAGGAGACCCAGAGGGAGAACAAGGACAAGCTGGAGGGACTATATTTTTCTGCTGGTCTGGAAACGCCTTGGGATTCCCCCGGAGGTGCTGGCCCAAGTGGATGGGGAGAGGGACGTCTGGGACTCCCTACTGAAGCTGCTACCCCCACGATAACCCCGGATACGTGGAAGAAGATGGATGGATGGATGGATGGATGGATGGATGGATGGATGGATGGATGGATGAAAATACAATTTATGGGGTAGACAAAAAGTCTAAATTTATTTGTCAAAACGCAGTTTTTAGGGTTTTATTTTGTTTTTTGAGTATTTTAAGTTTTAATAATCTGCAACCTGCACAGCCTTCTGCAACCTCTATCAGCTTTTCTTTTAGTATTATTGTTTGTGAAGAAAATCACACCACAGTATGATGCAGCTCCCAATGTACCACTTAGCATCTCTCAGTGTACAAATTGGGTTTGAAAGTGAAGCTTTCTTTGAAATGACATATTGGAATATATAGTTGATATGTTTTAGTCATAAAAAAAGACTAAAAACTTTTTAGAATCAGAATACCAGTTCTGGTTGGATTTATTTATTTGTGCAGTCTATAAGTAGCCTCTACATTGTTTGCAGGACTATTATCAACAGGGATGTTCCACTGGGTTGGATGTGGCTTTAGAACCCTGAAGATTATTGTCTCTTCTTGCCACACTTCCATAAATGTTGTCTTCCTGCTGCGCACTTTGGTTTTTCGTGATGCTTCACTAATGTTCTCTAACCTCTAGATTTACTAATCCAGTTATTTCTGAAGGCAACTGTATTCTATGCAGGAGTGTCAGCGAAGAAGAGGATGCAGACATATGCATCCTCTACTTTTCCATTATTTACTGCATGTTCAGATCTTTCACATAAAATCAAAAAAAAAAAAAAGACATTTTGTGGCATGAAAGCAGAGAAAATATTCCAGCAATGCTAAAAGATGTGTTCACCTCCAACATCCTTAAGCTTCCTTATGGCTGGTTCCTCCAGCTGTCTGATCTGCTCCTTGACCATCACCTCAAACGTCTTATAGTTGATAAAGCCTGGTAGTTCTCTTCCACGATACCTCTCCTCATATTCCTCCACCTCTTTCTCAATTTTTTTGTTAACTGAACAGAAAAAGAACATGTCACACAGATGTTAGGGTACAGCAGTGTGCCTGATGAAAAGAGAAAAACTCACAGTTTTCTCCAGAGCGGTCCAGGTGGGCCTTCCATTTCCCAAACTCTCTTCTAAGTACAGAGAAGACATTGAGGTTCTCTCCGCACTTCAGCTCCTCTCCCGTGGTCAGACTGATGGCATCCTGGGTGAATGCTGTCACTTTCTGTAGAGAACATTTTTTATAGTTATGTTATTTTTTAAAGGGATAATGCAGGACCCAACAGTGTAAGAACTCACATCAATCAGGAAGACAAGTCTCTCTGCCGCATCAGAGGGGGGTCCATTGCCATATCGGTCCAGCTCCGCCTGAGTCTGCTTCAGCTTTTCCTCTATCTGCTCCTCCAGTCTAGGTAGAGATTTCTGTAAATCCCAAATCAGGAGTCAGACATCCTAAAAATTTAGTCATTTGTCAAAATAAAGATAATGACTCACCTCAATATGATGCACCAGTTCAAGAGTAAGTTTCTCAGCTAGTTTGGGAACAGTGGCCTGACCATCGTTGTACAAAGTACTGCGGAAAGAATGAAAAAAAGAAATGAAATAAAAAGACATTCTACAACATGGAATGTTCACCTGGTGGTACAAAACGGATGAACTTACTGGAAATATGCATGATTTTTAAAGAAGTCTTTCTCTCTTTCTATTGCTTCAGACAGAGACACCTTCTCTGTGATCTCCTTCTGGCCCCTGCACTTGACGATCATGTAGCCCTTTTTCAGTTGGATGATTTCATTGTGGACTATTTCTACCACTGTCTCTTCCGTGCCTTTGTCCACCAAATCAGGCTTGGTCAAGATACCTGAGAACAAGGGAATATTTGTTTTTTAAGTACGTAACAGAGAACCATTTGGTCATTGCAAAACATATCAAGTATTTACCGAGAGTCCTCTCTCCATCGGGATCTACCTGCTGAGCCATCTTTAGGGCCTCTGTGGTGGCGATGTCTACATTGCATGGGACCACCACCAGGCTGATGGTTTCTTGTTTTCTAATGAACTTGTCAATGAGTCGTTTTATCTGAAAATTCCCATTCAAATTGCCAAAGTGCAAAAATGATCAATCATAGATGACAACACTTTTCAAATGATATACCTGCACCCCGGTGACAAGGTTCAGTTAATCCTAACCTCTAGCTTGTATGCAGGAAGCCCACTCGCTATCAGCTGTATTTTTCCTTTAGTATTCTTGCAAACTATTCACATTAGTTATATTTTTCCACATTTTACAAATTGCTAAGACAGTTCCTTTAATATAGCTGTTACAGCCAAAACTTTCTTCTAACACCTCCCTAAAAAAGGTACTGATACAGACCTGATCTCCAATGTTCTCCGGCTGCCCCTTCACGGCCACCCTGGCGATACCAGGGAGGTCAATGAGAGTCAGGTCCGGAACATCCGGGGAAGCGATTTCCAGAGAGATGAGGTCATCGCTGATCCCCACGCCAACTCCAGCCATTTCATCCTGTGCTGAAGAAAGGGAACAAAGGTGCATGTTCAGGTCAGTAAAGACTTAAAGATAAAGAAACTATTTTAGTATATTTGGTTATAGTATAGTACTATAACCAAAGCATGACAAATGCAGTGTTTTACCTTCTCTGATTTTTTTCTCCACAATTACAGGATCATCTAATTCCTCCTCATGTTCTTGGTAACTGATCTTTCCATACCATTCCTGACCTTCTTTCCGTCTCTTCATCTTCAGCTCGAGAGGACATCTTGTGACAATCCCTGGATTAAAGAGAAGTCAACAACAACAGAAAGGAAACATTTAAAGTAGCTTCTAGTCAGGTTGTAGTGGCATAAAAATGAGGCTCACTTGGACGCTGTTGCTCGGAGGTGGAGCCAACACACAGATGAATGACAGCTGCTCTGACATCCGCATATTTTTCAATATAGCTTTTGATATCATTACAAGAACATTCTGAACACACACCCTGTGGAACCTGTTTTGTTTAATTTCCATCTTCCCAGCCCTTCATTCCAACAACAGTCTATCTTTCTGTCAATCTGGTATTTAGTATTTTAAAATATAGTCTGTTCACCGAGCCATTCATGCAATTGTTTTGTGATTATAACTCCATATATTTCATCAAAATTTTAAGATTTATGTAAGTTTATTATGGAACAAATTCCCATTTGACTTTAATAAAAGATACTTTTAACAGAAAACTTTTAAACAAACGTTACATGATACAGTGTATTTATTTGAAATGCATGATCATCAAATTTAAGTAGACCTATTTAGTATTAATAAAATATACTCACTCAAAATTAACACTATTGAGTGTAGTTATTTCAAACACATGAAATGTATTGTTTTGAGTGCACAAACCTGAATATTGTGCAATTCCTATAGATTAACTTTATGTATTTAAAATAAATACATTAAGTATAGATTTAGAATAAGTTTCTTAATTCTAAATACATAAACCTAACAATTATGAATCTAAAATAAACTATATTAAATTAATCCATATGCCTTATGTAAGGTTTATTTAAACGTTTTGCGTTACAAAAAGGTAATTGTAAATTAAAATAACATTTTTGAAACATTTAGAAAAAAGTGTGATATTTTTTTTTTTTTTTATCGTGGTGAGTTTGTATCAAACAATGAAACTTAAAGCAAACATTTGTTTTAATTTTGTGTTTTGGTATCACCCACCACTTCCTCTGGGCAGAGCCACCCCTGACAGCGCCTCCAGCACCGAGCTCTTCCCGGAGCTCTGGTCTCCTATCACGGCTATGGCCGGCAGCGCCAGGTCCTTCTCCACTCCTAGAGAGCGCAGGGAGTCGATCAGGTCGATGCAGGGACGCACCTTCTCCTCATACTGCTGGTTCAGAATATTCATTGTTCTGATTTTTTACTTGTTAAAATAAATGAATGCAGTCCGGGTTGCAGGGATGCAGGGAGCTGTGCAGCGTCAGCCTCTCTGAAGAACCGAGAGATACTAAGCAAGGCAACCCAGCCAGGGATATCCGCATTTTAAGTTTCGTTTTACAAGGAATTGAAAACATTGGACCGAATCTGAAGGGAGTGTCTTTTATTGTTGACAAATGAAACCTGATACGATTTTTTAAACGTTTTTTTTTTCTTTCTTTCTTCTTTTTGAGTTTCAGTTTCATTTCTTCTCCTCTTATTGCTACTGCAGATATAATCTATGAAACTTTGTCACACTGCAATGATAGAAACTCACGTCCCTGTCACATTAAATTGTTGTACAAGTAAATTCTTTTAATCTGATATAACTATCCTTAATCTGTATCTTCACCCAGTTCGAAAATGTGTTAATCAGGCATCATAATGCCTCTTCCTGCACTGCACTTTTCTTTTTACTTTTGTTCTGTTTGTGTTCGATGTTTTTTGTGCAAAATAAACGTAATCTTAAAACTTACAGTTGGAAAAATGTCCCTAGTGGTAGGACTTCCCAGATGGGAAGTTTCAGAAGTTTCTCACCAACCCTGACATCAAAAACTAATACGATCCTCCAAAGATGCTCCCAGGCAGTCCAAGGGGTCCAGGAGATAAGGCTAAATTAAACCAGCTTTTTTTCCAAGCAACCCACAAATCCTTAAGAGCAATGCCTTGCACTGAGCGTGCTTGTAGCAACAGTGGAGAGGAAAACTTCCTTTTAACAGGAAGAATGTCCAGCAGAACCAGGCTCAGGGCCAAGGCCGCCTGGGGTTCAAGGAGACAGAAGCAGATAAAGACATAAAAGACAGAAGTTCTTTGGCGCTCTGTCCCCGGCAGAATACTTCAATGCTGTGAATGAACATATATTTGGATGAGTAACCTTGAAAAGGATTAAACTTCCCCCGGGGCCTGGACACTGGTGGTGGATTAAGCCAGAGGATGACTAGGACAGAGAATGAGGGAGGCGATGGGGTGGAGGTGGGTGAAAGTTTGCTTGCGTGTCGGAGAAAGAAGCTGGGCCAGGAGCTAAATTAAGGGGAACACGCAAGATGATTGGTTTGGGAGAAGGTGTTGCCCCCGAGCTGATTGGCTGGAGTTGAATGAGGGTAATTTTTGGTGTTTCAGGTGTAGCTGATAAGAGTCATCCAGATTTAATTTCCACTTAAGCTTCCTCTCTTCTGATTTTTTTCTATTTTGTTGGTTCCATTGGATATAATTAGCCTCATTACCAAGCATTAGTTTAGTTGCTAATACCAGTGAACGTTAAACTGGGAAATATAAAATAAAGTTGGTCTTCAGTTCAATTCATTTCATTTATATAGCACTAATTTACAAAAGATGCTATATCAAGGCATTTTCCAAAGACAGTTGATAAAAGTTTCTAAGGAAAACCAGCGGACTGTATCTTATCTTTGACTTTGCAGTACACATTCCACTTGGATGGGCATGTGGCAGCAATAGTCACTTTGATTTTGTTGTTTACAGTATTCCCAGACACAGAGCATGCATTCAGTGATAGGTGAGAAGAATAATCCCCTTAACAGGAAGAAACTTCCAGCAGAACCAGGCTCAGTCTTAGCGGGCTTCTGCTGAAGCAATAGGGGGTTCAAGGAGACAGTAGCAGACATATAAAAGGATCATTAATGCACTAAAGCATAAAAAGTTGTTAGAAAAGTATTCCCCAGTGTGTATACAATATGAAATTTCACTTAGGACAGCTTTTCAGACAGCAAATGTTCCTTTCCTTAAAGTGCAGCAGTGATCAAATGTAAACAGTGTGAGAGAAAAAACATGGTGCAAAAAATGCATTGATATACAAGTTCAGAGCATTGATATATATGGTGCAAATATGCAGTATATTTGGTTTGGTGTTATCAGTGTGATGCAGAGTTAATGACATGATTTAGAATTTTTTTTTTTTTTCAACAGTTGATGGCTGATGGCAGTGGGGAAGAAACTGTTGCAGAATCTGCTGGAGCTGCGGCGCATGCTCCAAACCCAGAGGGCAGCAGGGGGAACAGTCCATGGTGGGAGTGTGAGGTTTCATTAATAATGTTACGGGCTCGGGACCACAGCGCTGAGATGAAATGTCTTTAATGGAGGGAAGAGGAGCCCTGATGATCCTATCTGCTGTTCTCACTACTCTTCTCACTTTCTTCCAGTCAGAGGTGCTGCAGCCTCCACACCACACAGTGAGACAGCTGGTCAGAACGCTCTCTATGGTGCTTCTGTAGAAGGTGGTGAGGAATGGGTGGGTGGGAGCAGGTGGGCTCTCCTCATCCTCCGCAGGAAGTACAAACGCTTTTGTTACCTTTTGACCAGTGAGGTTGTTTGTGATGTGCACCCCCAGGAATTTGGTGCTTGATGAAGTGCTCTTTTAGGAACTTAAAGCCAGGCACACACTGCACAATTTCTTTGCTCTTTTCGGGCCGACTTTCTAGTTGTGCGAGAATCGTACGTCCTGCGTTGTGTAGTGTACAGGGGGTTATGAGCGGCGATCAGCCTCTCACGACCACCTCCGGATCAGGAACCGTAAGGTGGGGAGAAAATCAAACATGTTTGAAATTCAGTCGGCTGTCGTGGGAAATTGCTCAGATGAAAACACAGAAGCATGGCGGGGATGCGAGTGAAATTAAGTTTGTTCTGTAAAAAAGGACAGACTATAGTTGGTCGCATCGGACCGACTTTAAGCCTGATCGTGCATTGTGTAGTGTACAGGGGGTTATGAGCGGCGATCAGCCTCTCATGACCACCTCCCGATCAGGAAGCGTGAGGTCGCGACCATTGTGGGCAAATCGCTCAGGGCGCATCTGTCTGTAAAATTGAAGGACCGCATTAGCCGCGTTTGCTCAGTCATATCTTTTTTCCAAATGCGTTGTTGCCTTTTTTTTTAGGACTTTTAGCACAAAATTGCACAAATTGCCAAGGCAGAGTGTTTCACTACAGTGAGCTTCATATCCCCCTTCCATTTGTTAGGCTTCCGGATAGAGGAATCAGAGCAGCTTCATCTCACTGCGGAGCTGAGTCCGATGTGGTTTTTAGTGGCGCAGTGTGAGCAGGTAGATCACATCGTCGGGCCAAACTTAAATCGTGAGCTGTGAGCTCACATTGTACGAATAAATCCTACGATTTGTCGTAAAGTGTGAGCAGCAGCTGCGTGCAACGATTGAAAAAAATTGCACAGTGTACGCCCGGCTTGAGCTGTGATTCTTGGCTGACTTGGAGAAGCAAGCCTGGTTGGTAAGCGCTGCCTTCTGTAACCTTCTGTCAAAATCTGCTGACATGTCTCATGTCTATCTAATACATATGCATCATGTAGTTTTATTTAAAGAGTTCGTGCCGAGGGGTGTGTCTCCCCGATGAAAAGAAGCCTTTTGTAAACTATACTTCTGGCTTCCTTTTACACAACAAATAAACCTGGCCCTAGCACCTTCCAGGTGTTCACAGATATATTCAACCCTGAATAATAATGTGTAATCACCATAGGTTTTATTATAAGATCTAATTCCCCAAAATCATTTTCAAGTAAGTTTTTTATATATACAGTAAGTACCAAGAGAAACCTTATGGCAACAACCATGGTCTGCTTGTGAAAGCTAGTATGTTGGACTATTATCTAGCTCTTGGACATTTATCACCAGCTTTATATCAGCAAAACACGAAGACAAAAAAAAAAAAGAATTCTCATGGATGCATAACACTAGTAAACTCCAAGCATATTACATGTAAATTCATGTTAAATATAGCCTATCAACCAAAAGGCATTATGCAGCCTTTGGCATACTTCAGTGATTTAACAATGTTAAGAAGGTATAATTTCATTATATTAAGATCTTTAATTAATAACTCTTCTTTTGCTCTTGAATTCTTGCATTTCAATAAAAGCCAATTTTGAGAAATTCCAGCTTTTGTACAAGTCAGTTAAATAAAACTGGCCCCATTGTTATCTAATGACTGATGTATTGCTAAGATTTCTTTTTTAGCCTCTCCTGCAGAGGATGTGCTGCTCTGACCATAAAGGATTTTCTTAATTAAACTCTCTTCAAAGAAAAACCTGTAAACATATTTTTGCTTTACTGCATTAGTCCAATACTTCATGTTTTATGATATTTCTTTCTACTCCATGTTTACATATGTTACTGCAAAATGTAAATGCAATCACATTTCATAAGTGCATGCTAGGATGATGAGGATTAGAGTCTGCAAACTTCAGAGAGGACAGTTTAAACCCTTAAGTAGTTCATATAGGAGATAATGACTCATACAATACTTCAACCCTCATTTCTTTGCTTTAATTCTGTGTCTGTATGAGAACAAAAGCCAAATATAAGTTGGTTTATATCACACAATAGGCAAGGAACAAAAAAAACAAAACAAAAAAAAAAGTTGTAATAACAATAAAAATCAACTTCCTTTTTCAATGTTATGGAACAAGCTACTGTGCAAAAAAGCATAAATATCCCAACATAGCAGGTTTCTATTTCTAAAAACACCATTTTATGTATTAAAAATAAGATATAGCTCAATTTAAAACATTTCAAATGACCAAACCTTTTTACATATATTCTACAGTATATTTTATTAATATTAGAGTAAAACAAATTCCTATTTACTGAAAATAAATTGCTCAAAAACCTGTGAAAATGTAAAGGTGAGATCATACTACCACTATCCAAACTTCACTAAACCATTCCTGAATATTGGTATCAGCTGAATTAAATCTGTGATTTCATTCATCCCAGTCAGATTCTGTTGTGGTAAGGTCGCACATGTTCATGCTAAATTCACTCAGTATAATGCGTGCCTTGGAGAGTCGTTTGATGGAGTTGTGCAGAAGGCTTCTGCGGTCTTTTATGCAGCAGCAGCTCCATTTTCTCCTTGTCTTGAAGCATCTGTAGCATCTCTCTCTGCAGCTGAACTGCCGTCTCCTGCAGCATCTGGTACTGGATCACCAAGGGGATCTGGTCGGCCAGACGCTGACCAGCGATCTGTGGTATCAAGAAAGAGTAGTGGTCTAAGATCTAGCATTAAATATTACTATCAGATATACCACCAATGTAAGATACACCATTCTGCTTCTTTGTCTTGGAACTTGAACTTACGTTGAATACTCTTTGAAATGGTTCTGTTTAAGGATTGTATTTTCTTTGTGGTATCCTTATCTGACTGACATTGTTCTTTAGAGATGCAGTAAAAGAATCTTAAAGCAATAACTTCAGAAGGATGCTATTTGTTTCTGCAACAAGTATCTGGTTCAATCTATTAATACCCAATCCTATCTTAGGTATCTGCTCTGAAGCAGATTGATTAATTTGGAGCTTTATTAGGTGCATTTTGCAAGTTAGACTTTGAGGCTTGTTGACTCCTAGCTGGTGCTGTCATATCCAAGAAAACTTAGATCTGTCACAGTCTTGGTGCTGTTATGTTTTCTTTTGAGTATTCAGTTTAACTTTGCTCCATATTTTCTAGTTTTAATGGTTTAATTCTTATTTTGTTGTGTTTTCTAGATATATTTGAGTTCTTAGGTTTTTATTTGTTGCCCGCTGGTGTTGGTCTTTTCCTTTGCTCCTTTCAAGTCTGCTCTGTTCACACCTGCTCCCAATCTGCTCGTTAGTCCTCTCTTTGTTCAGTCTCCCATAAGTGCACTACCTGTGCAGTTCCTTAGTGCTGGTTCCTCGTATAACTTCCTCCAACTCCGTCTCACTGTGTCTCCTCGTCGTGATTGTTTTCCCTTGAAGTCTCTATGATTTCTGGTTTGTTTTACTTTTCTCATGTTTAATTTTTGGATTCCTACCTCAGCTGTCTGTAACCTTTAATTAAATCCACAAGAAACAGTTACTGATTCAGAATGCTTAAATCTAGCATATCTCTGGTAAATGTCCTTCAATTTTGATTCTAAATTTTTTCTTCGCAGCAGGGCAGGTCCATCCGAGGGCTTAAAATGTGACAGAGTATATTTTTTCCGATATAGTGTAGGATTGTAAACTATACTACTGGCTTTTAAGCCGACTTTTATTGTCTACGTTATCCATTAAAACATGCCTAATCAGATAGACACTGCACTAGACACCATTAGTCAGACAATAGGAAAATGGAAATTTAACACTGTACACAAAGTATTTAAATGTATGATTTCAAAAACACATAAAACTGTTGATTTTCATCAATAAACAAGGAGCATTCTTGTTTAAACCTTACTTGGAAATAGGATTTCAGGTGTCTTGTCATCTCCCTCAGGTTGGCTCCAGTTTCATTATTAATTATAACTTCTTCTCTCTTCCTCTTCCCTAGCTTCTTGCTGTATCTGCAGTCCTGAGTGTAAACAATTAGCTCCATCTTAAACTGGGTCCGCAGCATGGACTCTGCCAAGGCTTCCTTGTTGTTAGCGATGGCTTCGATCTTTATCTGAAACAGACAAATGTTTTGTCTATAGACATTTTGTTCATGTATCTATTTGGCAAAACAAAACGATCCAAAATTACTGGTACTTCTGAACAATTCGTAGAGAATTTACAGTGCTATAAATTCATAGAAATTACTTCTTGACTAATCTTAAAGTGCATAATAAAACACAAATGGAACCTGAGCTGGCAGTCAAAAATGACAAATAATCCCCATAAGCACCCCCACTTCACAATAACCCAAAGTCATGTAAAGGTAATTACCAGTAGTAAAAAAGAAAAGAAAGAAGGGGGTTGATAGAATTATTATTACTATTTTTTTTTTTGGAGCATGCATAACCTAATTAATATAGTCTATTAACCTAAAGCAATATGCATGGTATGGTTGGTACATGTCAGGTACACCGGTCATTGACATTGACCAAAGGCACCTTACAGTAGAACTGCAGTCAGGCCCTGGACTGACATGGTTATCACTGCCCCTACATAGTTAGGGAAAAACAGAGAGAACAAATTTCCCACTGGGATCAGCTGCATAGTCATGGTAGGCCACTTCTTTGATTTTATTTATTTTGCTGAAGCTACTCATAAGCCACTGCCCGCTAAAGGTTGAGAGGGCAATATTATTGACATTACTGTTAATATATAGTAAAGATTTTACATATTCAGTAAGAAATTTTCACAAGGGATGGTATGGGGGATGGTTATTTAAAAAGGGGGAGAATTTTTAAGATTCTTTTAAGTAGGAAAATGCCATCCCCCCTAAACTCCAGTACTGGTATTTACATATTCTACACCCGTCACTGCACAAAGCTTAAACAGGAGGTATTCTGTATTGTATACAGCAACATAACAAAACAAAACAAAAAAAAATCACACATAGATGGCTCACTCTCTCTATTTTTAAAGGGTGCTTTCTTCCAAAAATAAGCTATTGTGCCAGTTTAAAAGCTATTGTACCAACTCCAGTTCTGGTATTTACTTATTCCACACCCATCCCTGCACAAAGCTTAAACATCAGGTATTCTGTATTATATACAGCAACATAATAAAAAAAAAAAAAAACCCAAAGAATACATACATAGATGGCTCACTCTCTGTTTTTAAAGGGTGCTTTCTTCCGAAAATAAGCTATTGTGCCAGTTTAAAAGAAATACATCAAAAAAATGTTTATACCCACGGACACGTAGATATAGACTGAGTTCATATAAACCTGTTCCAGAGTGATATGATCATATGGGTAAGAAAATATTATTATTGTGTCCATCATGCCTTAGACATGATCTAAAATCCTGTGGGGGCAGTGCTATGGTCTGGGTGTGTTGTACTTAGTTCAGCAGTAACATTTCAAAGAATGAGCTCAGTAGACAGATTATACGAAATAATACATTAATATATTTCTTCTCCTCTGTTGGAATGAGTATACTTCATAATGACAATGCCAGGATTCATTGGCTCAAGCTCTGCAAGAATAGTTTAGGGAGTGAGACATTACATGTGGGTTGTCTAGTACAAGGTCGAGTCAAGAGTTTAACCCTGCTAATGACTTTTGAAATGTGCTGGATAAGATTTTTCCACAGTGATCCATCTCACTAGATCTAGACTGAAAATAGTTTGGGTCTGGATGGTAATAAATGTGACTTTGCACAGGCGTATTGGAATTATTTGACAGTGAATTTGTGGTGAAATCACAGCATTGAACAAAGCTTGGGGTTTGGGCCCTTTATTGAGATGGGTGGTGTCATCAGAGAAAAAAAGACATCAGGGGATATATTATTTAAGTCTATGATACCAAAGCTTCAGTGAAAGAATGGCGAAGAGGTTCCTGGAGTACATGTGGTGCATTTACTGCTTAACTGTAATAGATTTTGTTTATTTTATATTTTGTCTATTTGTAATGTATGATGTCTGAGGTTATAAAATTTTGATCTGGAACATTAAAAAAAGGAACAGCATAAGACCATACCTTGGCTGTTCTAAGAAGGTTAGGCAGGCCAATCAAGCTCTTCCGGGCCAATCCAAATAGCTCTTTCTTCACAAGTTCTGTGGATGCACAAACATAAAAGAATAACAGACAAAAATTATGTTTAAGTTATGTCTGAATATTTATTTAAATGAGGCCACTAGAACAATACCAATTTAATAAAGTATTAAATTTTGTTTCGTCTTTAAATTTCAGCGAACATGAATTATGAGAATGAATATAGAAAATGAAAAAGCTAAAATATTTTAAATATAAGCCTTTCCTGTTGTACAAGGAGATGTTTTTATATAAATTGTCTAAACACACCAAGCCAGTTTGATGAGCAAAATCCTGCTCAGCTCAAGGCTGACTGTTGGATAAACTGGATTAATTCTTTGATTTATTGCTGCTTTGCATCATTTAGCTTGCATTTCTGTCACAGCTTAGTGACAACAGAATTGCTCAGCTGCAACTACATATTACTATATAGTTATATATAACAATATAAGAAGAAAGGCATTCAATGGAAAAAAAAAACAAAAATAAAAAACAAATGAAGGAGTGTCATATATCTGGGTGGTGCTGTTTTTGTATGATTTGTTTTCTCAAGCTGAGCTGAAAGTTTTTGTACAAGGAATGCCTGAGGGTAATGAGGTGTGTGGCGTACATCTATAATAACCCTAACAGGCTTTTATTTATGTACTTATATCAATGAAGGGAACTCCCATACATGTTCTCTTAACTTATTTGTGGACTAAAGCTAGCAGTATTATCTATCCAACAGAAAAATCTAGATCACTTCCCTAACTTTAAATTCATTTAACCTTTAGTTGCTGCTGCCTGTCTATTTTAGAACAAATTTTAAGGTGCACTTACTGGTAATTTGCTCATTTTTATATCATTGCTGTTACTTCTCTTATCTGACTGTTTACTAGATAACCATTTTAGTCATTTCATTTAAAGGGTATTTAGTTTTTAGTGTCTATTTTAACCTCTGTAAAGCACTTGACTGTGTGATAATGGTTTTAGTATATTTTATTGATTGATGAATAATCCAGAAATCAGCCAGCACTGCTTGTTCTTCACTCAGTAACATAGTCTACACTGAAGCAAATTGCTAGAATATTTTAGTGTGTTTGTTAACTGATTGGATAAATATAAAAATTTTTTGGGTTTCTGATTGGCCAGCATTTGGTCAGGGCAGATCAAGCTGTGATCATCTAATTCCACTAACTAGCCAATTTCTTGGTTCATTGTACCGTAGTGGTGAACGGTATTCACCGGGATGTCAGAAACAGACAATGTACCTGAGACCTCCTTGAGTTTCTGGACAGCAGGCTCCTCCAGCAGCTTGATCTGCTCCTGCGTCATTGCCTCGAATGTCTTGTAGTTAACGAAGCCTGGAAGTTCTTTTCCACGGTACTTGCGTTCATACTGAGCCACCTCTTTTTGAATATTCCAGTTGACTGAAAGAAAGTTCAGAATAAAATCACATCAGGTAAATCTGGAACTATTAAATGAGCAACAGGAAGGATAGGCTTTAAATCTGGCCAGACTATATTTTACAAACCTATTTAAAAGCTTATAATTCACCTACATGCTGTTCCAGAGTCATCGATAATTGCTTTCCAAAGTAAGAACTGTTGCCTCAGTGTGGAGAAGATCTTGGACTTGTATCCACATTTAATGTCCTCCCCTTTGCTGAGATAAATAGCATCCTGTGTGAAGGCTGTCACCCTCTAAGACCACACAAAAGGATTTTTTTAAAAATCAGTTTTTGTAATGGCTCTTCTTCCATACATTAAAAAAAGGCAGCCATTAAACTCACATCGATAAGGAAACCGAGTCTCTCGGTGGAATCAGATGGTGGCCCACAGCCCAAGTTATCCAGCTTTGCCTGTGTATCTTTCAGTTTGGTATCTATCTGTTCCTCTAGTTTAGGTAGAGATTTCTGCAGAGAAGATTTTTTAAAACTAAGGATTAAAATGTAAAAGGCTGTTTAAAGGTAGCTATATAAGAAGAGATATTTACCTGGATGTGAATCACTAGCTCCAGGGTGAGTTTCTCTGCTAGCAGAGGGACAGTGGCCAGACCTTCATATAACAGAGTCCTAAAGAATATATGAACCAAAACAGTGTACCAGTTATTCTGCAAGCAATTTCTTTGCTTTATATAACTTTCAAAATTAGTGTGCTTACTGAAAATGTGCATGATCACTAAAAAAGGCTTTCTCTCTTTCGATTGCTTCAGTCAGAGACAACTTCTCTGTGATCTCCTTCTGGCCCCTGCATTTGACAATCATGTAGCCCTTTTTCAGAGGGATGACTTCATTGTGGACTGTTTTCAACACCGTCTCCTCCGTGCCTTTGTCCACCAAATCAGGCTTGGTCAGGATACCTGAGCAAAAGGGAATTCCTAAGTACCGAGCAAAGTTGTTTGGTTTAAAATTACTTTGACTTACCCAGAGTCCTCTCTCCAGCAGGATCAACCTGCTTAGCCATGTGTAAGGCCTCTGTGGTCGCGATGTCAACATTGGATGGGACCACCACCAAGCTGATGGTTTCTTGTTTTTTGATGAATTTCTCGATAAGAGCCTTTATCTAAAATTACAAAATCAAAGCTCCCAAAAATTGTTTTAAGGTTGACTAAATGGCAGCACATATGACAAATTCTCGATAACCCAATTTTTTATTGTTATTAAATTCTCTGTACTCTATTGCACGTATTGTATCTATGCAGGAAACCAAAATCTGCCAATAATCAAATCCCTTTTCTTTAGATTGACTTTATACAAAGACAACAACCCTGAGGGAAAAAAAAAGAGGAAACACACCTGATCACCAATTCTCTCATTTTGTCCTTTTACGGCCACCCTTGCGATGCCAGGAAGGTCAATGAGAGTCAGGTCCGGAACATCAGAGGAGACGATTTCCAGAGTGATGAGCTCACTGCTGATATTGCTACCTTTTCCAGCCATTTTATCCTGTGCTGGGGGGTGATAAAATAGGTGGAGGTTCTCATCATCAAAGCACACAGGATATTAAAATCTAATTCCTAGCAATACATTCATGAACAATGCAACATTTTACCTTCCCTGATTTTTTTCTCCACCTTTACCGGATCATCAATCTCCTCTTCATGACCTTGATAACTGATCTTTCCATACCACTCCTGACCGCCTTTACTTCTCTTCATCTTCAGCACTAGAGGGCATCTTGTAACAATGCCTGGACAAATGATGAGTCAGCAACATGGGAAGAAAAAAACCCAAAACATAAACACAATACAGTAGGCCTATCTGTTGTGTTTTCAGAGTAGATAAGTAATTTTTGTATAAGCAGTTATTGTGTATGAAACTCTGGTTTTGAATTGCCTCTAAAACATAAAACACTTTTACAGAGGCATGAGGTACCACCGTAAAAGATCTTCTATCAAAACTCTGGCAAATGTCACTGAAAAAATAAGGAATCTGTTGGATCCATTAAAGCATTTTTAATGACTTTCAAACTATTGTTTTATTTTATTGAAAAAAAGGTAGTCATTTTTGAAGTGAATACAAATAAGAAAACACAACTGTCTTATGTATTGAAACAGCAATGTTAATGGTGCTGGTGAATATTCTCAGTCATTCAGGTCATAGTTATTCCAAAAAAAAGTTTTTAAAAAACAATCCACAGGACTTTGTTTCCAAGTTTGAAGACTTTTCGCTTCCTAGGGGACCAAAAGAAGTTGCCTGTTCAGCCAGGCCAACAATTCCCCCTAATGACCCCCCCTTTCAGAGGCATAGACCAGTATAGGGTATTGCAGGCTAACAAAGATCCTACTGCCCATTCCGAAGGGTCACACTAACTGAAAAACACGGTCTGTCAGAGCGCCCAAATGAAAAATAATAAAGTCAATATCTATAACGTTAGAATTGTTTTCAAAAACAGTTGCCAAATGTCTCAGGTCACTGGCAACTATATCGTAAGTAGCCATCTTTGTTGTGACTGTAGCCGGTGGCTGCTAACCAACCAATGGGGAAAAGTTGAGCCCTTAAGACACACCCCTTCCTCATTTGCATAATGAGGCAGAAATGCAGACAGAAATGTAAATACGACAGGCAAAAATAAATAACGTGAAAGAAATAAATAGGGTAAAAATACAAAGGAAGAATAAACCAGATAAAAAATACTATAACATGCACAAAAATAGATACTATAAAAAACAAGTATATAACAGACCATAAATAAATAAATAAGGTAACTATTACAAAGGCGAAAAAAAACAACAAAAAAACTAAGACGTTAATTAAAAGAGATATATACATTTATGTCTCACTGTATAATTTAATTTCTATCTACATTTTTTTGTTTATTGTATTTTTGGGGGCCAATTAATTGTATGCTTATTTATTTTTGGAGCATTTATTTATTTCTGTATTTTTTTCTAATTATGGCAGGATTGGCCCTCCATATTAAAGTAACAGATTATAATTAAAAATGTCCCCGGATCTTTTCTGGTTGTTGATTTTCTTTATTCGGAACCCGCTGATTTTTAATTGGTTACCCATCCACTAATGTATACTTCTTTTCTTTATTCAGAAACTTTAAAAACAATTAAAATGGGAATGGTGGAAAGTATTTACGCATGCAGTCCAGAAGGGTTTTACATTTGGTGTAAAAAAAAATAAAAAATAAAAAAAAAATAAAAATAAAAAAAAAGCAACGATCTAATAATTCAATATTATTTAATTAATAAGGCCATTATGCCTTTTGAACCACAAAATGTTTTAATGACAATCATAGCATTACCCACCACTTCCTCTGGGCAGAGCCACCCCTGACAGCGCCTCCAGCACCGAGCTCTTCCCGGAGCTCTGGTCTCCTATCACGGCTATGGCCGGCAGCGCCAGGTCCTTCTCCACTCCCAGAGAGCGCAGGGAGTCGATCAGGTCGATGCAGGGACGCACCTTCTCCTCATACTGCTGGTTCAGAGAGTTCATGATGTGCGCACCTGTCCTTTGAGCGAACAAAACGTAGAAGTGAAGAAGATGAAAAAGTGTTGCCGGTTTTCCAACAGAGCAAACACTGGGCGTTTATATAGTAAGGCACAAAGAAGAAAAAAATGCAGAGATAGGTTTCTGTTTCCCTGTGCGTTTCGTTTCACTATAAGTATCGTATCCTGGAAGCAGGTAAATATTTTACAGCCAGGAAACCAAGTTACTGTTGTTCAGAGAAATGTGGTGTTCTTTTCAGAACAGATCAAGCAGCTGCACCTTTAACAATGTTTCAGGACTTAAGACTTCTTTTCAGTTTACATTACATTTAATTTCACATTTTTATGTTTCAGACTTTATATTTTCAAAATGTAACCTATAAATAGAACGCTATTTCTGTGTATTTTGATTTATTTATGCAAAGTCAGTTCATTTGTTAAAAAGCTAAATAACAAAAAAAAAAAAAAAAGAGTGTCCCCTGTCCATTGCCCTTTGTATTTCACTATTGCTGATAGGACTTTGTCAGGTAGCTGAGTTTTGTGAAAAGAACGGTGTCACATGTGTTAGGTTTCTGTTTTCTGTCATGTTTTTCTTTTGAGGATCCAGTTTTGCTTTTCTCCTTGTTTCCTAGTTTTTATGGTTTAATTCTTAGTTTATTGTGTTCTTTGTTTTTTTCTCAGTTACTGTCCTAGTCTTGGTTCTGTTATGTTTTCTTTTGAGTGTTTAGTTTTTCTTTTCTCTATCTTTTATAGTCCTAGTGGTTTAATTATTATTTTATTGCTATTTCCATTCTTCCAGGTTTTTTATTTGTTGCCCTCTGCTGCCCTCATGTGTTCTCCTTTCTCCCTAGCTCCTGTTTTATTTCTGCTCTGTCCTCACCTGTTTCCAATCTTCTCATTAGCACTCTCTTTTAGGGTTGTCACGATACTAAACTTTTCAACTCGATACCAATACTAAGGAAAATATTCGATACTCGATTCTATTTTCGATACCACGAGGATAAAAACAAAGACTCCAAAATTCTACAGAAATATTTTCATTAATAAATAAAATACAATAAATAAATACAATGGTTGTATGCTGTGCACAATATTAAGCAAGCTTGATAAAAAAAACTTATAAAATTCAAATTAAGTGTTCCTTCCTTGGCTATGCTGTGCACACATAACAATGACACTAGCCAAACCAGTTAAGAAAC